TCCTACAGTTAATTTCAGCCCTAAGTAACCAGATTCTTCATATGTATATATTATAGGATCATAAAACTAATATGATTATTATTGATTGAACTAATTGGCATTATACTGTATTTTATAGGTATTTAGTATAAAATAAGATTCATTTCCTTTAGGTAAAATATGAAATTTAACTAGAGAAAATTAAATACCAAAAAAAATTCCACTTTAGGAACTCTTTACAGACATAAATTGTATCTCGTCTACTTAATAAAGTGTATTTTAGATACTTTGAAGACAGACAAAATAAAATTTTACTTTCATTATCTTCTAAAAGGGTTTTAATGGAAATTTTATTTTATTTACTTGGATGGTTACGTCTAAAAACTTTTCTCAAAACATTATTGGAACATCATTTCAGCCACAGCACTTCAACTGCTAGATATAAGATGCTAGGTACCATCTTAATGACTTCCAAGACAAAAATCATTTAAAATCTTTAGAGAGAGAAAAAAAAATATGACGACGATGGCTAACTCTCTCGTGGACTTGTCTTTTATTGTTATACAATAATCTCGGGTATTTAGCAGAATTTTGATCTCAAGACAACAAATACCAGATAATTTAAACAGTAAATATTCAAGGTTGTAAATTCCCCTTCTACAAAATCTACTTAAGGATGTATGAACACAGACAGTGAGTGCTATCTAAATGTTGTAGCATAAAACAGAAACGAAATAAAATGGAAGCTATAAAAGTGTTCGAAGCTTGCCAGCAATACTGAATATTGCGACTCAAATCCAAGCGTTCGGTCGTGTATTGGAATTTCACTAGACACAATATTTTGAACACAATACTTTATAGTTTAGTGTTGAGCGTTTTCGGAGTACTCATTTTTGTTTCAATGTCTCCTACAAAATATTATAAATTTGAAACAATTTTGAAACACACGGCGCAGCATATTTTACACGCTTTATATTAGCTTCACTTGTATGTTTGTTTGTATGTTTGTTTGTAACCGGCTCCTTTGGGCGTGATTTTGACTGAGTTTAAACGGTCAGAATTCGTTCAAACTTTGTAGATATATCTAGGACCGATGACTATACACTAATTTAAAAAAAAAAAAAACTAAAAAAAAACACGCTTTTTATAGAAAACCAAACTAAAAATTGAAAATTAATTTTAATAAATTTGAAAAAAAGCGTGGAGTGCTTTTTACTATTGACAACAGGCACCCAACGCTTTTTTTTTCAAATTTTTAAGTTTTATTTTTTTTGTTGGCATCATTAGCAAATAAACTGTAATTTATCTTTATAACTTTATATTAGTACATTCATACATGAAGACATAACTTCAATACTATATATATATAACAAAATATTTTTTAAATAAAATTAAAAAGATAGCAAATAAATAAAATCTTATATTGGAAAAACAATTTACTTATTACTATTACTATTTACTACTAAAATATAACCAATTTCAATTTGCTTAAATAACAATGTATTTACGAATAAGCTATATTCGTCATACCTTAATTTTCCACTGAACAGTTGGAATATTTTGTTCAAATTTAAATAGCGCCAACTTAGAGTACAATTAATGAAATTTAAAATTAGTTATTGAATTTTAAGGATAATTCACGGTTTAAAATTGACAAAAATTTTGCATACCGTGCGTACACAAACATACAAAAAAAAGGCATTGGGAAATAAGCCAAGAACTCGTTATTTGTGTGTGTGATCACAGTGACCAAGAGGTTTTGCGGTCGCTTACATGCAACGTTACATCACACCTGCGAATCCCTACTTATTGGGTTGAAATAATGTTAGTAAAACGCCGTTAAGTAAGCCCGCCCCTGACTCATATATAACCGCTTCCCTGGTATGATTTATCGCCTTCTTTCTATTTCCAATTTGGTGACGTAATATCTCTTTACGTAAGGTACAATCTCCCTCAGCCAATTAAACTGCGTTACAAGCAAGCTTTTATTCTCGTAACGTTCACGTTTCACTCCCACCAAAATTACGCCTGTCTACCCAACCTGAACAAAAAAAGCTTGAAGCTTTAATAAAACTGGGCGTTTTGTACCGAAACATCAATTAGTAAGGGCTGGTCACAATTCAAGATACTTTGACATTTCGGAAACAATAACCAAGTTATTTTTTTTAACCGGAGGATTTTTATATTAAAAACCAGGTTGCTAATTGAAGTTAAAAATAAATATAATAAATACTCGCATACCATCCCGGTCTAAAGGTACTTGTAAGTATTTTAAAATTAAGTGTAAATTTAAAAATATAGAATGCCCTGGGCATGAAGTCCGCCCTTGTACAAGAGTGCATAAAGTTGTGTAAATAAATAAATAAACATAGCTTTTGTCGCCATAAAAGTTTTTTAATCTATTCTATCGATAACACTCTATTTGTTCCCCCTTGGTTTCAGGGGGGGAATTTGTAGGGCGGCCGGTGGGAGTCACATACCACTAAGTGACCAGTGGTCAGTCGTTTGCCCTTATTCACTAAAAAAAGTATACGGGGTATATTCTCCTTTGAAAATGTCAATGCAAAAAACAGCTATAGTATGACAATCTAACAAACCTCTACAAGCATTTATAGGTATATTAGCATAAAGAAAAAACGTCAAATACAGAGCGAATTAAAAAAAAAAATATATGTAGTGACCAGCTTTCGTCCACGTGTTGGGCGATATCAGACATCGTAGAGGATATAATGAACCAAGATTATAAGTATATGTATAATCCTCATACAAACTTGTACCCCTTTTTAAGGGTAGTTTTGAAAAAATTGTAACAACGTTTTTATTACTTTGACTAAAAAGCATTAATCGTGAGTATGAAAATGCTCCTCCTCCTCGCTTCGGTTGCCTCAATGCTGAGGGTCGTGACCGCTTCCTCACAGTAAGAGTTTGCTGTGGATCATTCGACGCCACCCGTCCCTATCCGCCGCCGAGTGTAGAGCATCGTGGACTGTGGTGTCGAGAATAGTGCGGATCTGGTCAGTCCAAAGTGTCGGATTTCTACCTCGTAGTCTTTTTCCATCCACTTTGCCCGTGACCACTAACTTTTCCAAATCGCTACTACCAAACTCTACTACCAAAAATAACTCGTATAAATTTCCAACCCCCATTTTGCACACTTTGGGGTAGAATTTATATACTTCTATACCCAGCGGTCCAGCTGTGTGTTGATCAATCAGTCAGTGATCATTCTATCAGTTTCTTCTTTTACAGATATAGATTATTTACATACATATCTTCACTCTTTGTAGTCTTTTCAAGAACAGTGTTCAATTGTTTTTTAGTTTTCAAAATTAGAAGTAAAAAGGTAATCATACCTTGTCCATGGGTTACGCCTTCTTAACCTATTAATAGCTATAGTCAGTTATGTCCATCATAACTATTTACGACCAAGAATACAGTACAATTAAATGATAATAATATACTAACATTAAAACAGTATAAACTGGTAATACTTTATTCATTTCATTATTAATGACTCAAATAAAACAGTAGAACCTATTTATTGAAACAAATCTAAATATATAACAGTAACTCCGTGCGGCTATGAATTAAGAATACGGAGTGTTACAACCCCTATTCATTCCCTGGGTGACGGAAGAGCGGACAAAGGGAGCAAACTATGCAGGACAACAGCACTGCAAAAAGAAACAAACCCAATACCAACCCGTCTGGCTAGCGTGGTATAGTAGGCCAAAACCTCTTTTCTAAAGAGAGGCTAATGTCCAGCAGTTTACTTATCAAGGCTGTTGATGACGATGCTGATGATAGGAAAGTAGATAATAATATTTTTTTAATTTTTATCCGCCTCTGCCTAACCCTTCTAAGACATAGGCGTGAGTGCATATTTATATGCCTGTAAAAATGTTTTGACAGGAATTACAGAGAAGATAGAAAGAAAACAAAAATTGTTCAAATGATGAGATGAATAGTTTTTAATAATGAATGCTTACCTAAATAAACATATTAATCTGTGATAAACGCGAATTTAGGCATAGTACGCGTACATCGTATGTAATAAACGGAAAAAGATGAATAAAAAAAAAGGAATTAGGAATTTTACCTGGTACAGGTAAAATACCGCAATGCAGACTTCTTGTGAAATTTGTTTCTTATTGATATTGAAATGTTTCATGTAACGCCAACTGGTTATTTTTTTATTTTAATTGAAAAGAAACCTATAAACTGTCTTGTACAAAGCCTTAACTGTGAATTGACTCTATTTCTTAGTCTTTTAGAGGTTATTTTCGTTTAAAAGGTTATTTTTTTTATGATATAATGGGAGAAACAAGCGTCATCCGATTATAAGTAACTACCACCGCCTTTGGACACTTATAACTCAATAGTCACAAGGGCTCCGGTGACACTGGTCGGTGAAAGGATAGCTTAATACCGGTTTTATCAGGTTTTACGGTATTAGTGCCGAAGCAGGACCCTCCCACGGTAAATTTGGCAACAAGAGCAGATTTCTTAAATGAAACCAAATAGAAAACAAAACCAATAAGCAATTGTGTGTAAAGGCCATTTTTGTGTCACTGCTGATATATTTGACATGATTGTATTTTTTATCTACTTATATTTTAATGGTGAAAACAACCCTGTCTGTCAGACTTTCAACTCTTATTTAATCAAACGATGATCTGGGACTGTTAGTATGTAATCGATATGATTCGTCACAAACGAATTTGTAAATTGCAGAAAGTCAGACGGTTTCTTTCATCCAGAAAACAATACTGTTATGAACTGTATTGTTTTCCGCAGCGGCAATCACTTTCTGTCAGATGACTCGTCCGCTCATTTGAGTCCTTATGATAAAAAGCTATACCTGAGTTAATTTGAAAAATCGACATCAACAAATTTTAATCTGAAGCAAAAACTAATTGTTACTTCAGAGAAACAGAAAACATAAAATCATCTTTATAAGCTACAACATAAGAGCTATTACTAAAATCGTATTTTCACAATAATTTATCTTGTTGTTTTAGGCGAGCGCCTTATCCAGTTCGCTTCAGAGAACCTGGTGACGGAGATCCTGATTCACCCACAGATGAATACGCTGATGCAATGCATGCGCAATCTGCTCAGCTCCTTCACGAGGCACAGACACCTCGTGCACGCCGGATATACATTCGCCGGAAACGGCTCATGGATTATGCAAGTAAGTACATAAACCATAGAATATTACAAAAAATAAATCAACCTTCAAATGATAGATATAATGCTATTAAATACAAAATTATTCTAGAGATTTTAAACCCTACATAGTTACATGTACAGTTACGTTTTTATTCCAACCCTGTGACTACCTACCTAATTGAGATTTACCAAAAGAAAGAGGTTGCCGAGAAATCCGAGCCCTTAAATCCACAATAAGGAGAAAGAACTTAATTCATCTAAATTTCAAATTAAATTGACATTGTCTTCTATTACATTTTTGAAAAGGTTCTACAAATAAAAACTCGCAACCATTACTGTACACAAGTAAACTGCAATGTAAGTTACTCTACGATCAATAATAAATGAAATTAATTTGGATTTAAACAAAAACAAATGTAGGAGACGTAGAAACATTTACAGATCAATACGAACAAGATATGAAAACTAAGTTTGACATATCAATAAGTGAACAATATCACGTAACGTCTGATACACAAAAGAGAATGGAACATGAACATTCAAATGCCAGAAGCTGAAAATTTAGTAATTGTTTAAGATAGCCCAGTATGCACAGTTTAAGTTTAATTAAATAATCCTCATTCACATCCCTAAAAGTTATACAACAAATTTTCTACATAAATTTCAGGAGACATTAAGTAGACAAGGTCAGTGGATAGCCTTGTCTACCCTAAATAACAACTAAAATCACACTCATGAAATATTTAATCAGCCCTCGAGTTCCAGACATGAATATATTTACGTCATACACAATCAACAACTTGGATCGGAACGACTGCCATTTGCAGACGAATTAAGGCATATTATCAACGGAATACGCAATGTAATAGAACCCATTACAGCTATTCGGGTGTGTAGAATTTGGAGTGAAATGTGGTTGAATTTATTAGAATACCTAAATGTTTAATTGATCGTTTCAAGTAAGACTTTCATCTGTGGGGATAATAGTATTGTAAATTCAACACAAATGTACAAATACAGTAACGTTTAAAAGGCATAATTAATGCCTAAAATTCTGCATTCTTGAGGTCTCACTGTAATGACATAGAACGAAATGAGAAACCTAATACCAACACAGACAACAGAATACTTTAGGAATTGAAGATAGAAATTTGGAAGTTTATTAAAGGGAAGTGAAGGGAAGTGAAGGCAGGTAGATGTAGGAATGGAAGGAAAAGGATGCTGCCAATATGGATAGACAGCACGGATGGCGTAATGGTTTAAGCGGTCGCCACGCCGCTTCCTACTACGCCGAGTGTTGTGGGTTCAAACCCCACATGGGACGACACTTTGTGTGATCCACAAATTGTTGTTCTGAGTCTGGGTGTTCTTTGTGTCCGTTTTTATGGATGTTTGTAAAGTCCCCCGCGACACAGGAATATATTCCTAATTCGGGAGTAGTCTTTTTTACAACAACAACAATAACAATTAATGTGAATGAAAGGCTTGAAAAGGGTATCAACATGCCTTAACCGTAACTCAAAATGGCTGTCACTAGGAAATTAATTTAAGCCTACAATCATCATCATCAACAGCCTTTACTAATCCACTGATGGGCTTAGAAAGGAGGGTTTGGCCTACTATACCACCCTGGCCAGCCAGGGTAAAGGGTTTGTTTCAATGTTTTCCTTCTCTGTGCGGTGCTGTTATCCTGCGTAGTGTGTGTTTCCTAGCTCTTACGACACCTACGGGATGAATATGCGTAGTAGGTAGGGTACTCTGTATTTTAGTCCGTCACCACAGCCGATAATAGCAAATATAAATAGATAAAAAAGTTTTAACATATGGATGACATGAAGTGATTTACAGATCCTCTTGACATCTATTCTGACCAAATAAATCAAGTGAAGTTGAGTTGAGTGCGAGTAAGCTTATTCTGTAGTTAAGATTGATGTTCAAAATTTTGTAACGACACAAAATCCCTTCGGATCTCCTGCTCCTCGAGGACTCAGGAGCCAGGAGTATGTGGTGATTCCACTAAAAACCACCCCGACGGTTGGCCTCAGGTGTCCTACTTTAAGAGGACCCGAACCATGTTATTTCAGGTCCGAATTGATACAATGCCTAATCAGGCCCTATACCAGGGGAGAATACTTCCCTCCTCAATAGCGGCATGGCTGCATTTGAGTAATTATTTCAATGAATGACACAAATAAATACAGGACATGTATGTGTGAATATTGTGCTTGGATGAAGAGCGAAAATTTTGTGATGACACAAAAATCTATTTGAGGAATTTATGTGTGTTTGAAAATTTAATTACTTTTATTGGTAAGTGCTTTTGAAATCAAATATTACTTCAGAGTTCCTAAGAGGAAAAATAAATGGAAAATGTTGCCATAACATATCAAAAAGTATAACACACAAAGTAAAATGATTCCGACACCTCGGGCCTTAGGGATTTATAGAATATAAAATAAAATGTTCTGAAGGTCGTTTGATCCCCAAAGTATCGAATCTTAGTAAACCAACAAAAACTTCATCTTTTAAGAAAAATAATTTATCGTCAAAGAAATTCAATATCCTTGTTATTTGAAGACTAAAGTTTCTTAATTGAATCGAGATTTTCTTTACTTTGATGGTCGGTAATGCAAGGAGCAGTAATAAAATGTTTTTGGAATTCAAAATCAATAACATTTATGAATTTACTTATCATTAATATTTCAAATTGAATATTTTAGAGAAACACTAAGAGAAATTTATTAAAATTTGACTCGCGTGTTGTCTTTCAATTTCATTGTAGGTGCGTTATACGTACGTAGGTTTATGATGAAAACTGAATTTACATAAAATATTTATTGTCCGTGTGGTGACCACCCCTATTCATCCCCTGGGTGTCGTAAAAGCCGACTAAGGGGACAAACTACGCAGGACAACAGCGGCAAAGAGAAGGAAAACTTGACACAAACCCTACACCAACCCGTCTAGCCAGCGTGGTGTAGTAGGCCAAAACCTCCTTTCTAAGGAGAGGCCTATATCAGCAGTGGATTATTCAAGGCTGTTGATGTGATGATGATGATGATTTATTGATTCTTGTAAAAAAAAAATAGGGTCTACTTACCCACGGATCATCGCCTCATCGTCTCTCACGATGAACTGATACGAACTCGAACCGACTAAACTACACGTTGTTTCTTCAGATGTGAGTCGCTTGCAAGTTACTGGAATATACCCTAGGCTAGTAGTTCCGAGAAATCTCCAGACCGCTATTAAACAGTTGTCACATCAGTCATAGATACAGTAGGCAGTCACTTTACCCGGTTGTTCTAAGAACTGCCTCCTTAAATTGGATATACTGAAAATAAACTATAAATTACATTACTATTAATTTTCAAGCCCAAAATCGATCTAAGTGGAGTGCAATGGGAGAGGCCTATGTCCAGCAGTGGACTGCGATAGGCTGTTGATGATGATGATGTATTATAAAACCTCCCATAAAATAAAAAGTGACATAGTCAAATAATCGTGAAAATTAATCCCTTCCGTTTTTAAGAAAACCAAAAATACTTGCAGATTATGTTCACACAACTGCTTCCTTGAATTGCAAATACTTAAAATAAACTATAAATTACATTACTATTTAATTTTCAAATATTGTGTAAGCATAAATAGAACTCAAAACGAAATTAATTACAGTTTTAAACAAACCATCACAACATAGAAGACGTTTTAGGTAATTTAACGTATAATTCAACCTTTCAACGGAGTGCCAAATTTGGCTAATTAAACTTAAGAAGTGCTGAAAGTGACAGTCTTTGGAAATTATTTAATTGTTTCAAATATTGTTAATTTGTTTTGGATATTTTCTAAAGCATACTTTTGAAGTAATTAATGACACCAATAAACAGAGAATAGGTGTGTGTGAACATAATCTGCAAGTATTTTTGGTTATTTTAAAAACGGAAGGGATTAATTTTCACGATTATGTCACTTTATATTTTCTGGGAGGTATTATAATACATCATCATCATCAGCCTATCGCAGTCCACTGCTGCTGGAGATTTCTCGGGACTACTAGCCTAAGGTATATTCCAGTCCCTTGCAATCGACTTACATCTGAAGAAACAACGTGTAGTTAAAATTCATATTATTTATAATACATATTATTTATTTATTTTTATGAACAAATTTGTAGGAGAAAGAATAATTTATGACCTCAGTAAGAAAGTATTGTTGATTAATAACCAAACCTTCCCACGTGAGATTGATATTAAATTTAAAATTTATGTAATACGTCATAAAATAGCATAGACAGCATAGCATTCAATAAAAAAATATACCATCGTATTCTATTGTCTCTTACATTATTCAACCGACTCTCTCTTGTTCCAGGATGGGACCTTTTCCCTCGCGGACTTTACAGATGCTTACCAGGAGAATGAAGTTCAGCGCGTGATTCGTGCTTACGAGAACTCAATCTCCATCGACGTTCACTGTTCTACCAGTGGCGGGGGTGACTGGGCCAAGCTCCCAGACATGCCCTTCGTCAAGTACTGCAAGATTAGGGTCAACCCTACAGATATTTTGGACTCTGGCTCTCAAGCCATCAAGGACTTTATTGGTAAGTACTGTAGTATAATCAGATTTATTTAACGAACTAGTATTACCTTCCCCGCTTACTAACTGACCACGTAATTTTTTTATCTTTAAACTACATGTAATTGTCGTATGGAAGTTGACGTTGTGTGTACGATAGTACAGACACATACAGATAGATAACAAAACCAAAAGTAGAACGGCAGAATCTGCACCCCTTTTTTTTCTGTGTGGAAATCCCCTCGGATACCACTCGACGGTGGCTATGTCAGACTCGAACCGATTAAAAACCACACACCGTCTTTTGTACCAGTAGCCTATTGAGTTTCATTCCTAAGGTATACTTTCGAATTTCTCTTGAACTTTGAAATTTAAATTGCTTTCCAATAATTTGAAATCGTCTGATGATTGGTATTATCACAGTCCTATTTTACGCAATGTCACCTGCAGATTGTAGAAAAGAAACCAAAGATATTGCACATCAAAAATAGTAATAACTATAATTTCAAGACTGTCTGTTATTACAAACAAATTACTAGAATTTTCAAACAAGTGGGATCGTTATTAGTTGCAGAACGATCCAAACTAACCACAAACTAGTTGCTCAGTTTTCCGAAGTTGCTAATTAACGGAATTGGTTATGTATAGGAATAGCTTTAGGTTGATGCTTGCGGGTTTAGGCCTGAATTACGATGTTGTAGTTCATCACTTAACACGTGTATAAATAGGGAAAGACGAAGTGGAGTAAAATTTTATTCTTATTGCTGCTAATATAATTTGAGACTATCATATTCCATTGTTACGATTTGGGATTTGACAAATAAAAGTAGGCGATTAATTAGAAAAATTAGCACTGTATTAATAAACACAGACTTTTATAAACAGTAATTAAACTAAATAACTCGTTAGTCGCACTAGAAAGTCGCTTCGATGTTAATCCACTGTCTCGTAAAATAAAACTGACTTGTACCGCCAATACGTTCTGCTTTTAAAGGACCACCGAAATTACTAGAGTAATCCCAAGGATCAGATAAAAAGTACCAGACAAATTCATCCAAGTTAAGAAATCTACAGAGTTCTATTATTCCTGCCGATATTTTTTTACTTGATACTAGATGGCGATGTCCTCCGGATTCTATACGACTCTCGATTGTTCACAAACTAACTACACAATACAAGAACCATTTAGTCCTGTGGCGCACACTATCATACTGTCTATGTCGAACTGAATTGTATGATAATCATTATACACTCAATGCCTCTGGCATGATGCTGCAGGAGATATGAGACAGGATTTACAAAAGCCATTTGTGCTAAAGTATAATTTTTAACTGTACTAATAGGTTATACTATAATAAATAATATAATTTTCATTAATTTATTTACTTCTAATTTGTGTAATAGTAATTTCTGATTCAAAATGTTCTGTTTGACTCTTAATGCAGGCAGTGATCTTCTGTAATTAAGAATACACCAGATCAATAATTTATTATTCTCTGTAAATGCTATGTGATATTCTTGTTGAAGATCCTTAAATAAATAAATACTCGTACATAATGGCAAAGACTTTGTCATTAAGGTATGTAATTCCCATTAATTGCTTCAATTCCCGTTGCTTGGTAATAAGTTTTTTACCTGTGTTTAGAATCAATGAAAAAATATTTTAAAACACGTGACCAAAACAGAGTCAAATATTCAAATTTCAGTAGAATAGTACATTAATAATGCAATCTCTCATGCATATAAAAGCAATCCAGGAATTAATAGGATTGTAACCGAAACACGATTCAACATTCAACAATTTCCCAGCACCGAAATTTGGTCGGATGGCAATATAATATGAAAGCGTAAGCTGGATATTGGGGCCCTGCCTATAACATGTCACCACACATTAATTATACAATCTAATAATCTATCCACTGTACAAATAAACCTACTTTGTGGCCAATCAATAATGTTGGTATAATGAGGTCATATTTATTTAGGCTAGGCTATTTGATTGTGTTTTAGGCAGGAATTTATTCACATTTACACAGTTTTACTTCTTATTGCGTTTTTTGGGGATTTTTAGATAGTATTAGACAGGAATATGTTTTATAGCCGTATGGTCTCATATGCTATGGTGTGTGGGATCAAGACCCCCATTGTACCCAAACATTATCACATCATCAAAATATAATGAAAGTGAAATGACTCAAGATTAGATTACATACTAAAAAGTCTTTAGACTAACGAAATACTAAAAATGTGTGACTTAAGATTCTGGTTTAATATTAAAATTAGTATAAGTTATAATGGAAATGAGAAAACATGTTGTATTTAATGAATTGTAATTATTGAAAAACAGCTAAAGAAATGCTTTACAGAGGTTGTCTGTTAGGCAATGGTATTACTCCGGTCAATAAAAATCCATGTGCCTGGCTCTCGCTTGCTACTTATTTACACTAATTAAATTCTAAACTGAATTCTTCTTTTTTCAAAATTAACATCAGCATCGACATCAGCACTGCAAAAAGAAGGAAAACTTGACACAAACCTTGTACCAATCCGTCTGGTCAGCGTGGTATAGTAGGCCAAAACCTCCTTTCTATGGAGAATCTTATGTCCAGCAGTGGACTATTAAAGGCTGTTGATGATGTGATGTGAATTATTAATGAACCTAATGATTTGCAATACTTTAAGATCATAATATAAGATAGAAATACTAAATAAGCAGGTATTAACGTTGTACCATCAAGATTTTATAATAAAAGAAGGTGTATTCTAAACTTTAAACGCTCAAAGAGAAAATTTATTCTTCAAAGTCCAAGTAGGCCACAAAATTTTCCAGTTTTGCCTCTCAATGAAGCATAAATTTATCCTCGAAAACCAAAATTAGATGAGAGACTTGATCCTTTAGAGGCAAGGTGCTAACGGTGAGTATCTAGGTGTTAAATCTGACACCCTTGCCTCCATCTCAGGGAATTTCACGTAAATAGTTAATGAAGCCTTCACACTACCCGTTGAAGGTAAAGAGCCCTTGAGCATTGATTTTGGTTTTGCCTAAATGGAACGCTCAAAACTTTACAGTTGAATTTAGTGTTCTAATATAATTACATTTACATTAATGCGATTGAAAAAGAAGGGAAAAAGCTACAGTTTTTCAAAAATTCAAAGTACCTGAGAATATTACTTGTAATGGCATACATTATAGCTTAATTTCATGGCCACTCTATAAATTTTTCCGTACAATAAGACGTTGTCAAGCGGTATGTCAACTGCAAGCAAACTTGAGGAGCTCGTAGACTAGTGCTACGAAACTATGTAGCACTCTACGAAAGCTAAACTAAATTACGCCGTAGCTGTTGTTGTAGACCTTTGTCATGAACCACAACAAAGGTCTTTTACAGGCAGCTTAATGACATTATTAACTAAGTTTATAATAATATCTTAGTTAAAGTAAAGTAGTTTTGAGTAGCAATAATGTAGTACCTTTTGTTTTTTAAAACATCACGTTTTATGATAAAGTGATGGCACGTTTTTGGGATGAAGGGATGCCACGTTTTTGGGATGAAGGAAGGGCACGTTTTTGGGATGAAGGAAGGGCACGTTTTTGGGCTGAAAGGATGACACGTTTTTGGGATGAAGGGATTTCACGTTTTTGGGATGAAGGGATGGCACGTGTTTGGGATGAAGTACTCGTATCACTCCGGTCGAGCTGGCCTATATAATTAGAAGAATAATACATATCTCTTGCACGGTAATAGTCCAAAAAAGAACATAAGTTCATTCAATAAAAAAAATAAGTTGACGATGGTTGATTTTATTGATTGACAAAATCTACATCAATACGGGTTGTCACTTTTAAAAACTAGTTTTTCATATCTATCATATAACACTTTCACCACATACACATAATCCGAATAGTTATAGGAGCAATAACAGGACACCTAGCTTTGAACCAACAACTATTCACTATTAATGCGATGGACAGCCCTGTTTGTAGATGATGTCTGAAAGCAGAAGAAACGGCCGGCCACGTACTCCTGGAATGCGAGGGAGTGGCCACACAAGGGGCAAGTATCCCTCTTGATACAAAATCGCTCCTAGAAGCCTATGAACGCTCTAGGAGGCTTCTGTGCTTAAGGAAGAAGCTTGGTTGGTTCACCTAGCCAACCTTTCCTCGACGCATAAAGGATGGTCCTCTTGAGTCTCAATGCGGAAACCAGAGCCCACAACCAATACCAATACTCTCACATACTATTAAAAAAAAATACTATAACTTTTGCGTTTGCGTTGATATTAAAGTGCCAACTCAAAACCACACAATGCCAACTCATGAAAGGAACTTTACCCTTTCATGGGCTGACAAACGCTAGAAGTCTCTATGTGAAGACTGTACAAATACTGTACAGGAGTTAATTTGATATTCACGAGTTTCAAATTGTTCGTAACACAGAACTTTGGCAGCGCTGTATGACGTGTGGTGTATTCATAAGAGATTGTGATAAGCTGAAGCGAGATAGCTGAAGAACAATCGTCACTTTGCTTAAATAATTTGGAATTTATTCAGGGTCGTTCTTTCTGTGTTCAGTTTTATATTATTCCGCGAGAAAAGGTTGAAAAAATTCAAGGTATCTTCTTTTCATCCCAAATAACACTAGTGTTCGTAGCAATTACTTTATAGTATATTGTTATACATTTTCATCTGAATGTGATAAGATAAGAAAACTGCAATCTGTTTAACATACCTACGCGTAAATACAACACTAAGAAATTTTACAAAAAAAAACGCAAAGCATTATTTTCAGGTAATTAAATTAATTATGACAAATGTCATCAGCGGTTCTTCTATTTTACATTTCTAAAACGTAATAATTTATTTTTAAAAATGAGCTAGAATTCCGACTTGCAAAAATAACCGAAAAGATTTACTTACAGAAATAAATATCATTTCATCATTTCATTTCATTTCATTTGAAGCCTCTAACTTTTACTCGGTGATATGCACGCTATACTTGCGCAAATACAGAACCGCTCATCTCT